TTCAACTTCACAGCTGATTCAATATTAGATGGGTCCCACCCTTGCACCAAACTGGCTTCGTGGTTTAAAAATACAAACACCTCTCCTACACAGCTTCAAGCACTCTTTCATCAGTACAACTTTTGTGGTATCTGGAGAGCTAGACACACCACTGAAAAAGCGTACACTTATTTTTCTCCAAAATATCTAACCAAATTGATTATATTTTGGTTTCTAACTCCATTAGCAAGTCTTTTCTTTCAGCAGACATTGGCACCTGCCTCTGGTCTGGTCACTCATGGGTGGAATGTAGCAGGTATGATGAAGAAACAACCACATGAGACTATAATTGGAAGTTAGATAATAATCTTTTATTACTGGCATCGGTGACAGAAGAGGTAGGAGAAAGTATCACAGAATATTTTCAATTCAATGAATCTTTTTTTTTTTTATAAAGATTTTATTAGCTCCCCTAAAAAGGGGAGGTATTTCGCTTAAAAGAAAAAAGGGAAAGGTAGACAGTGGGAGAAAGAGAAAGCTGAGTGATATATAAACTGGTAAATTAAACTGTTAGTAATGTCCAATTAATCTTCTTGGGCTTCTTCTGTGTGTTGTCAAACTTCTTTTCTTAGTCCGGTCTCATGTGATTCTCTGTTAGTATATTAGTAATGTTCCCTTGAGTTCTGTTAATAAAAAAAAAGAAAATCTCTTCTGGATACAGTCCTCGCTGACAAGGAGGGGTTTCCTCTGTTGCCTTCTACTTCCGGCTTGTTAAATTCTCCTTCGGGTTGCTGTTAACACACTCAGTTCATGAAAACAGCCGGCTCTCACACACAAGCAAACGCCCAGACGGAAGTCCCTCCCTTCCTCCGCTCGTTTTTGCCCAGCTCCGACATCTTTTCTTTTTTGTTTACTTTTAGAAAGTTCTTAAAGTGTGCTCCAGAGAGACAAAACTTTTTCTCGCTTTAGTTCAAATACATCAAGGGAAAACACCGCTGTTCGCTCAGTCCATTCCCCCCCTCCTTTTCTTTTTCGCTTATGCAGTTAGAGGATTAACCTCCTCGCCTTTTTCGCTGGGTGGGGGGGGGAGCGGTTTTAGATCTTTTTCTTTGCATTTTGACAACTCACAGTTAAGCCGATCTTTTCTTTTTCAACTTTTTCGGATGGTCGCTTTATCACTCGGTGACGTCCGGTGGCCCCGCTAAACCCCGTAAAAACGGGATCGCTCACGCAGCAAGGTCCAAAGGGGCAGGGCATGGCGGGAGCCTCGTCTCCAACCTCTCGGCTGAGAGAGAGACCCCCCCCTCGAGCGCCCTAAAGCGCCCCGGATCCGAGCTCCTCACATCCTGAGGTGCTCGTTCGGGTCTCCGCTCGTGCGGATTCCCTCCTCCACCGCGGGCGGGCGAGACGCCCCTCGGGAGCGACCCAAGGATGCGTCCGCCATTCGCGGGAGCCAGACCGGAAGCCCAATTCAATGAATCTTGTAGGGTGTCTCAAGACCTGACAGGGGACGCTTTTAGATCCGTCCTTTGAGGCAAGCTGATTGCTTTGGCTTCCTCCTGTACAAAAAGAAGAGGATCAAATAAAGCGTGATTTAAAGGACAAAATCAAAACCTTAGAAGTCTAATACAAACGATTTGGCCGTAAAAAGACATATGAAAAGTTGTTATTGGAACAGAAAAAAATTGATTCTGTAGAAGTATCTCAAATCCAAAAAAAATTACTCCTAAAAATAAGGATTTGTTGGATACTCCTGTCCAGGGGTCATTTCGTAGAAAAAGAGCTAGGGGAACTCATTAGCACAACTCATTAGCATATGCCACACCCCCTGACATCAGGGGCCCGGCGGTGGACCTGCAAGGCCAGCGGGAGTGCGAGGAAGCCCTGTCAAGGCCCTCCCTGGCTCCAGGCAGGCAGGGGTGGGGAGAGGCGGGGAGGAAGCAACTTACCCTCCCTCTTCTCCTGCCTCCTCCTGGCTGAATGAGGGCCGGAAGCGGGGTGGCCGGAAGCAGGGGGCGGGGCTTTGTCATGTGCCCCGCCCCCTGCACCTCACCTGGGGGAATTGCGTTCCCCCGCGTTCCCCCCCGAAATGACCTCTGCTCCTGTCTCTGCTCAAGAGATTCAAGATATCATACCATTAAAAGACTTAAAACCAATAAATCGCCAGGGAGCAATGGTTTTACAGCTGAATTCTATAAAAAAAATAGCTCTCTTCTGGCTGGTCGCTTGGCTCCTACGTGCAATCAAATTATGTCTGAAGGGATTATGCCCCCTACGTGGAGGCAGGCTAAATTAATAGTTATACCCAAGAAAAATAGAGACCCTGCTGATTTGAGCGCATACAGGCCTATTTCTTTACTCAATACTAATTATAAAAATTTTACAGCCACCCTAGCAGCTAGGCTAAACAAATTCATAAACTCCCTGATACACTCGGATCAGACGGGATTTATTCTAAATTTTCTATCTAAATATCTAAATATATTTCCGATAACACCAGGAAAGCACTAAATCTTATCCAGTATTGTCAACATAAGCAAATAGAATCCTTGTTTATTCTCTCTATTGACATCGAAAAAACCTTTCATAAAATTGAACCGAGGTACCTGGAATGATTCTTGGAAAATATGGACTTTGGTCCTAATTTTAAGAGAGCAATACACACTCTTTACCATTCACCCAACGCCTATGTCAGTATTAATGGATCCTCCTCCAATGACTTTCAATTATCCTTTTGCACGAGACGGGGGTGCCCACTCCCCCCTCTACTTTTTGCCTTTGCTATCGAGCCTTTAGCTCAAGCTATTTGTATTCATCCACAGATTTCTGGCATTCAACTGGGGAGACAGCAAATTAAAATTAGTTTATTTGCTGACGACATAGCAGTTTTTGTTACTCAGCCTAACCAAACCTTACCTGCTCTGGAAGCATTGTTAAACTCCTTTGGTATGATTTCTGGTCTTAGAGTCAACCCTTCAAAAAAGTTGCTCTATCCTATTAATTTAACAGACTCACAAAGGAAGTATATAAAGAGCCATTTCAATTTTTCCTGGGTGTTGAAAACATGGCAGTACCTAGGAATCCATATTCCATTGCAATTGTCTGACTTATTTAAATATAATTTTTTACCACTAAACAAACTTATTAATGACCTACCTTTCCATTGGAGTGTCGCTTTATCACCCTGTTTTGAAAGAATACAGATAGTCAAAACTTTTACCTTTCCAAAATTCCTATTTTTATTTCATACTATTCCCATAACAATCCCCATAACATTTTTAAGATATCGCAACAATCTTTTACTAAATGTATTTCGAAACCAGCTCTACCGTGAGTGCACTATAACACTATAACACTCTGCGCTGCCTGACCTAACTTTCTCTCTCTTTCTGTATGTCTGCGAATGAAGGCAGGAATATAAGAAAGACTACGGTGAATATCAACAACTGCCTTGCATCTAAAGAAAGGCTGAAGATTGCCTCAAGAGGTTCCCAAGACCATATTTCCTTCCCAATTGAGTTGGCTGAGAGTGAATATCCTTCACGGTTATGTCAAGGGAAAAGGCAAGGAAAAGCCATGGGAGATTTCTAATTCACTTCAGAGCAATGGTTTTTTGGGTTTTTTTGCAATTTTTTTAAATTTTCCAAAACTACAAGAAAATAAGGAAAGGGAAACTATAAACTATAGGAGAATGTAAAGATAAACCACTAAAAACCCAAGAGTTGGTGGTCATAGAATGATTACAATAAAATAGCTTTAAGTTAAAAAAAGTAATTTGTTACATTGAAGGTGATCATTACAGTCACTTCGATAATTCAAGTCCAGGTATTCTGACTTAGTAAAAAACAAAACAAAGAACACTTAAATATTAAGAAATAAGACCAAAACTCAGAAAAAATTGGCATCTCATTTTCCTCTTCTTTCCCTCAATTGATATCCTTGCTTGGGGGCAGCAGCCCCACGTTCCAAATCTGAGTCCTCCCCAGTAAGTGTTTCATCATCACTCCCCTTGTTGCTTTTCTCATCCTCTTCCCCTGTTGGATCCAGTTGTTGCTGCAAAAACTCACGTGCTTTCATAACAGAGTCAATCTCCCCCCTCTTATCTTTAAATTCGAAGAGTATGCATTCAGGTACAATCCATTTGTAGGAGATGTTATTCTTTTGTAGAAACAGAGCCAGGTCTCCATATTTCTTCCTTTTTCCCCTTATTTCAAAGGGGATGTCTTTCAAAACTCTTATCTCCTTGCCATCAATTTTAAGGGTAGTTCCATTTAATCCCTCACATGTCTTCTGGAGAATCTAACCACCACATTACCGGGTAGATTATTTTTCTTTATATATTCTGATTATGACCTATAGATCCATTCCATCTCGCCTTGAAGAAAATCCGTTTTTAAATCTGCAACCGGTCCCGGGGCATCACTCATAGTATGTTTAAGATTCTCCCCTTTAATCTCAGGAACTCCCTGAAATCTCAGTGTAAAGCTTACCTTTTCTATTTGAAGCTGTAAAAGCTGGGCTTCATCAGAGTTTCTCTTCTTTTCCATCTCCTGCATTTCCTTTTTGAGCTTTTTGGTGTTGGCATCCACTTCTTTAAGATTCCCAGCTATTTGCTGTTGTTGTTTTTAGTCTCGTCTAGTTGCTGTTGCTGTGCAGCGAAGTTTTGAATGAGTGTCGTCATTTGATTCTGAGCAATGTTTTGTACAGTCATACAGCCCGCTGGGGAAGGAGGGAGGACCTGAAATCTCGAGGCTCAGAAGGTCCTTGTGGGCAAGAGCTCAGCTGTGGCACTTGAGGGGATGAGATATCCTTAAACACTAGATATTCCGGGGAAAGGTGGAGGGGTGGTTAAGATCAGCCAAGGTGAATGAGGCCAAAAGGCCATCAGACCTTATCTACTGCAGTCACATAGATGCCTTTAAACCTTACCAAACCTCCCAGGGACTAACAGGAACTCTTAATTTTTTTCCAGCAGAGGATGATCTGGCTGACGAACTTCATCAGCAAATGCCAGATAAAGTTAAAAATGAAGACCTGAAAGAAAACATCAGGAATCGAGGCGGACTGATGAGACAAAAAGTCGGTCATATGGCTGAGAAGAGGGATGGAAGACAGTGTAATGTAAATATTCCAAAGCACAGGATAATGAACACAAGTAAATCCATTTGGTGTGAAAAGTACTTCAGAAATAGATCACAAGTCTTCATACACCAAAGAATACACCGAGTCGAGAAACCTTTTGAATGCTCAGTGTGTGGAAAGAGATTCAGCGAAAATAGCGGTCTTCAAGTGCATCGAAGAATCCACACAGGGGAGAAACCTTTTGAATGCTCAGAGTGCGGAAAGACATTCAATCATAGTGGTAATCTCCGGAAGCATCAAAGAACCCACACAGGGGAGAAACCTTTTGAATGCTCAGAGTGTGGAAAGAGATTCAGTCAGAGTTCTAGTCTTCTAAAGCATCAGAGAATCCACACAGGGGAGAAAGATTATGAATGCTCAGAGTGTGGAAAGAGATTCAATTGTAGTGGTGATCTTTGGAATCACCAAAGATCCCACATAGGGGAGAAACCTTTTGAATGCTCAGAGTGTGGAAAGAGATTCACTCATAGTGGCAACCTTAAGAAACACCAAAGATCCCACACAGGGGAGAAACCTTTTGAATGCTTGGAGTGTGGAAAGAGATTCACTCAGAGTAGCAGTCTTTACCTGCATCGAAGAACCCACACAGGGGAGAAACCTTTTGAATGCTCAGAATGTGGAAAGAGATTCACTCAGAGGGGCACTTTTCAACAGCATCAGAGAACCCACAAAGAGGAGAAACCTTTTGAATGCACAGAGTGTGGAAAGAGATTCCGTCAGAGGGGCACTTTTCAACAGCATCAGAGAACCCACACAGGGGAGAAACCTTTTGAATGCTCAGAGTGCGGAAAGAGATTCAGTTGGAGTGATAGACTTAAACAGCATCAGAGAACTCACACAGGGGAGAAACCTTTTGAATGCTCAGAGTGTGGAAAGAGATTCAGTACCAATGGCACTCTTCAGAAGCACCGAAGAACCCACACAGGGGAGAAACCTTTTGAATGCTCAGAGTGTAGAAGAAGATTCAGTACCAGTAGCAGACTTCAGACGCACCAAAGAACCCACACAGGGGAGAAACCTTTTGAATGCTCAGAGTGTGCAAAGAAATTCAGTTACCGTTGCAGTCTTCAGGACCACCAAAGAACCCACACAGGGGAGAAACCTTTTGAATGCTCAGCGTGTGGAAAGAGATTCAATCGAAGTGGCAATCTTCAACGGCATCAGAGAACCCACACAGGGGAGAAACCTTTTGAATGCTCAGAGTGTGGAAAGACATTCAGTGATAGTGGTAGTCTTCGGAAGCACCAAAGTACCCACACAGGGGAGAAACCTTTTGAATGCTCAGTGTGTGGAAAGACATTCAGTACCAGTGGCAGTCTTCAACTGCATCAGAGAACCCACAGAGTGGAGAAACCCTTTGATGGCTCAGAGTGTGAAAAGAAATTCAGTACCAGTGGCAATCTTCAACTGCATTGAAGAAGCCACATGGGAGAAAGTTTTTGAATGCTCAAGCTGGAATGAGATTTAGTTGTAGTAGCCATCTTCAGCTGCAACAAGGAGCCCACAATGAGGAGAAACGATGTAAATCCTTAGCTGTGAAAAGAGCTTATCTCCTATTTCACACCTAAAAGACAACCACAGACGATACAAAGCATTGAAAAGATATAAGCTGCTGTAAGAAGCTTTGAATATGCACAGAAACCTTATGCTAACGTTCAAGAAATGTTATAAATATTCAGAGTGCGGAAAGAGTTTTATCCATGTTCAAAACCTCAGAAGGATCCCTCAGGGAAGAAAGCAAGGAATGGTGCAGTCTCTTATGGATAAAAGGATAAGCTGATCTCTCCTTTAGCATCGAGGAGTTCTGTCAGGGAAGAAACCTTATCAATGTTCAATGTGTGGCAAGAGCTTTAGGCACAGATCTGATCTTCAGTTCCCTCAGAAAATCCATACATGGGTGAAACATTTCTATAGCTGGTTCTGATCAGGTTCTTCAAACGCACTGGCACTGGAGGTTCAGAAAGACTGAGGACATAGATAACACAAAGAAAGGCCTTTTTAGTTTTCCCCCTCCTCTGTGAAACTTGCTACTTCAAGTTATCTGCCATTCTAACTCTGACATGCTCAAAAGTGGCAAAAACAGTTCCTTTTCGAAATTGTATGAAGGACTAGCCAAGTTGAGAGGGTCACAGATATCTACAGCCTCTCTCCTACTGGTGTAACCATAGTATGACCAGCCTGCCTTCTTAATTCACAAACATGTTTATCTGACAAGCAATTGTAGCGAGGCATTTCTCAACCCTAATCCCTCCCCAGTCCAGCCTGCTGTGAGCTTTTGGGGGGTTCTCATCACTTTGAAACCCAAAGCTTTCTGGCAGTAGGATTAATTTGAGTTGAAAAGAAAAGGTTGTCTCCCTTAACCCAACAACTCTGTACGTTCTAAGGGGTCAGATGCCCCCTCTCCCCACAACAAGCAGTATTGTTGAAATGGACTAGTATCCATGGAGTTGGCAGGTGAACCTTGTAGGGCACGAATTCCCCAATTCAAGTTGTCCTTCCCACCCCACCCCCAGTTTCCCACAGAGAGAATCAGGGGGGAGAAGTCGGATTCCCTCCTTCTCTGAACCCCACCACTGCCACCACCTGTGCATGTGCCAGAAGCGACCTGGACTGAGCCTTGGCCAAGGCGTCTTCCCCCCCATCTTCCTCCTCAGAAGCCCCCTTGAATTCCTCCATTGAGACTGGGCCATTATGGCACCAATTGACAAAATTCTCTTTCTGTCCCCTTACTTTATTTTGGAGAGTTATTTGCATTAGAGTTGGAAACAGGCCCAAAGGGGAAAAAATATCCTCCCTCATTCCCAGAGGCTTGATGTGTGTGGAAATGGGTATCTGAAGAGATAAATAACATCCCGTAAAGGAATGGCACACTTTTCTCCTCCAGAAGAAGAAGAAGAAGAAATTGGATTTATACCCCGCCCTTCACCTGGAGTCTCAGAGCGGCTTACAAACTCCTTTCCCTTCCCCTCCCCACAACAGACACCCTGTGAGGTGGGTGGGGCTGAGAGAACTCTGACACAAACTGCTCTTTCAGGAACAGCTGTGCCAGAGCTTGTGACTGACCCAAGGTCACATCAGCAGGTGCAAGTGGAGGAGTGGGGAATCAAACCCGGTTCTCCCATATTAGAGTCCACACACTTAACCACTACACCAAACTGGCTCTCCAGGCAGTTGGCATCCCTAGATGAAGTGTTTCTTTATGGATCAGAGAAAGCAATACTCAGCCAAGGAAGAGTCACAGCTCATTAAAGATATTATTGTTTGTATCAGATAAATTAGACTTTGTGTTTTCTGTGCTTTGTGGGCTCTTTCAAATCTCCCCAGCTGTGATTGAGTGGATTGAAGGTTTAGAGATTTATTTGTATTTAAGATTGCCCAATTGGTCTGCATAGCCATTGTATCAACTTGATTATGTATTTTATATTATGATATACTTCCTCTGTGTGACTCTGCCATACGATAAATAGTTCTAATAACGTGCTTTGCGGGGGTTTTAATGACTTGGGCGCAGGGGTCTTTTTGTAGAAAAAGAGCTGCCAGAGCTCATTAGCATAACTCATTAGCATATGCCATACCCACTGACATCACCGGAAGTGTGTCATAAGGCCACACCCCCTGACATCACCGGAACCTCTTGATGACTTTTTTTTGTTTCGTGTCCTTGGCTTTTTCGGTCTGTTGATTATGGTCCAGCTCCCCCTCTTCCTGTCACATGACTCTAATATCACATCCCGGGATGCTCCTTTGTGAGCGACTGGCATTAAAGCTATGAGTGAGCAATTTGGCTACTGCATAAATTAGTTTGCTCTGGAGGCATCTTTCCTGAATTAAGACAAAAATGTATGAGCCGGAGGCTAAAAAACTGTTAGCTACCTTGCACTTAGAGGAAACACTGGACAAAACCCAGGTACCCTCAGGAGGTCCACCAGCAGGGCCAAAACTCCAGGAGCCCTCCCACTCTTGCCCCCCAAGCACCAAGAATGCAGAGCATCCCTTGCCCCAGACGTAAGAACATAAGAGAAGCCACGTTGGATCAGGCCAGTGGCCCATCCAGTCTAACACTTTGAGTCACACAGGGGCCAAAAATACCAGGTGCCCTCAGGAGGTCCGGCAGTGGGGCCACAACACCAGAAGCCCTCCCACTGCCCCCCCAAGCACCAAGAATA